GATCAATAAGTCGGAAGTTCTGTAGGCAGGACCAAAATGATTCTGATAAGCAGCCAAGAACAAGAACCCATACCCTTAATCTAATCTTTGTCACAGTACTGAGTCACCTTTACAACTGAGAAAGTTTACTAGGCTTTGTTGTTTAAAGGCTTTTTCAAGTCTTATCTATTACTCTTTTAGGGTATAGAAGCAGTGTTTTTCCTTTCACTGCCCTAAGTGTTAGAACTTCTCTGTTCCCTTTCATTTACTGCTTGCAAACTAGCCAATTCTTTCTAATACATTACCATACCATTAATAGTCTCACTCTGATCCTTTCTAACACTTGACCTAGAGCTCAGTTGGCATGAGGTATCCCTTTTAAGTTACCACAGATGACAAATTTACCACAATGGTTACAACTACAAAACATGGATTTCTGTGTTTCCCTCCAATTTCAGTTTCATCATCTGTGTGCCACTTGACTTAAACCAATGCCACACACTTTAAGATTTTGTTTTTGTTTTAATAGAAATCTACTTCTTGTACTAAAACTTCAGTGACTTAACACAGGGTTTTCATCGTGCCCCCCATCACAGTCAAGTGAGCTGACAGATATTCTCCAACCATCATTCAAGGGCTCCGTTTCCTTTATTTTATGGTTTCACTCTCCACTGGATCCTAATGGCATTTTCTCCACAGGTAGCAGAGAGGGTGGAGAAGGCGCCCTGCTATTTACTGTCTTATTCTGGGAAGACATCTATCATTCTGGTCACATACTACTAGCAAGTAGGTCACATGGTCCCACTTAGCTGCATGAGGGCTGAGAAATATTGTCTAGATGTGTGCCCAGAAAGAGCAGAAAAATAGTGATACTGATGAACCCCAGCAGTCCCTTTAATACACATTAGAACTTAAGCTCCACAATACCAGGAATCTTGGGTTTGTTCATGGGTATATCCTAAGTGCCTCTTACAGGAGCCGGCACACAATAGGTGCTTTAAAAGTATGTTTTAGGTCAGGTGTGGTAGCCCATGCCTGTAATCCCAACACTTTGGAAGGCTGAGGCAGGAGGATTACTTGAGACTAGGAGTTCAAGACCAGCCTAGGCAACATAGTGAGACTGCATCTCTAAAAAATATTTTAAAATCGTCCAGGCGTAGTGACATGCACCGGTAGTCCCAGGTACTTGGGAGGCTGAGGAGGAAGGATCACCTAAGCCCAGGAGGTTGAGGGTGTGATCATCATGCCACTGTACTCCAGCCTGGGTCAAAGAATGAGAACCTGACTCAAAAGAGAAAAAAATCATATGAATGAATGAATGAACAGGATGAATCTCAGATATGGTACCATATGGCTTTTTTTTTTTTGTAACAAAGACAAACTAAATGGACCAAGGAATAAAAGAATAATGAATTATATTGCATGATTTCTTAAATAAAACAATGAACAGAAACTTTTGAAAAAATCAAAATAAACTTCCAGATACTATATGCTCACATATCAAATCTACAATGCAAATTCATATACAAGCTGATTAAACACACACTAAATTCATCTGTTGTGAACATACAGATTCATCCAAAATATTAGTGCATACTAGGAAAAGAAATCATAAACCTGTACTTGTATGGTGACTGCAGCTCTATTCAAGATAGCAAAATCAGCCGGGCTTGGTGGCTCAGCCTGTAATTCCACACCTTTGGGAGGCTGAGGTGAGTGGATTGCCTGAGCCCGCGGGTTTGAGACCCGCCTGGCAACTTGCCGAGACCTCATCTCTACAATAAATCAAAATGAGCCGGACG